CGACCAGAAGTAGGCACACAGTGATTTTGGAAAACAAGCAGACCGGAAGTAGGCACACGGCCATTTTGGAACCCTGGAAGACGCTCACCGGAAGTAAAGTCACGTCCGTTTTGAAATCCCGGATATTAAAATGAACATGAGTTCCAGGAATGACCAAATTTGGGTATTCAATTACCATTTCCTGCTGCTACACCTGTCTCCAATATGGTAAATTGGAGGCATATATTGGTGGGTCAGCAAATGGGGGCATATACGGCACTTGGCAATTGAAAAAGAACCTGGAGGGTCGAAACGCGTTGTGCTAGCTGCTGTGTCAGCAATTTCTGCTTTTATTAATTTATACCAAATAAATGTTTATTTTAACACTTCACCTTACTATATAAAAAACAGTTACGTTACTGCCTATGGACACTTCCAGTGCCTATGGACACTTCCACAACGTGCAGCACTGGCATTCAGTGTCTCCACGCTCTGCATGGAGATGCTGAACATTCCCCGTAGAGATTCATTGATTCTTTACTTTGCTTTCTACCCCTACTTTTTGTTGGGTGGTATGCCAACTGGATTTCTATTTATATAGCTGCAGTGTAGAAGGAGCCTCTCTTTTAACTCACATGACACCCAGTTTCAGCTGAGTTTGGAGTTACATTTATTCAGCATTTAATCTACTTGATCTGCTTACCTGATTTTATGCAAAAATAGCAGATGTGGGAGTTCCACTTTTAGTTTCTAATGTTTTGTATTTAGCAGCATAGCAGGATTAATTGTAAAACCACAGAGGGGCAAGGGCTTTGACAGTGACCAAGGTACCATTAATTTGCCTGGTCCCATTAACCATCCGATTGTGAAAAATGATTGGGGAGTGGGAGGCGGGACTGGTAACCTGCCTAGGGTCTTATTCTTTCTCTGTTTAGCAGGTATCATCTGTAAACAATCATACATTCTTTTATAATAACTCTTTATAGGTTAAGCTATTATACACTCTACGTGGATGCCCTACTCACCATAATAATGCCCATTACTTGGACCTAAGTGATCATGATTTCATGCTAGAGGGTAGAACAGATTGTAAATTAGGGTTTGGTTAATTATTATTATTTTTTTACATTTGCCTGACAAGCGTTCTTGATTCAGTTTACTGCAAATGGTCCACAGATAAATTTTTTGACGACACAGAAAACCTATAGCTTGGTAAAGAATATGCTACATGTGAATGCTTCTGATGTTTATGACATCATAAAAATATTATGATTTGTTGTAAAACGGTTCTGAGCACCTACACTATCTATGATACAGACCACTGAAGCAAGAATGAGTCATTCATAACTGGAAATCATATATCAATACTATAAATTGGTAATAAATTTAATAAATTACGTCAGTGACGTCATGGAGGTTATAAACAAAAGCAAAAAGAAGCTCCAGCACACACAAATTTCCCAAACAGTATAGAATAAAGTCTCTGTTTTGGGAATTCTTGGGTACTGGATCTTCTTTTTGCTTTTTTTTTTATTATAACCTTCTAGATTGCCATCCTTGTCCCATGCACCACATGAAGAATATCCCTGCCCGTTTGGTGAGTGCCAGCTTTTGGTAATTTTTACATATTGTTGTGTGAGGTCATGACTCATGAAGGATACAATAAAAGTATAGGTCTCATGTAACACTAGGGTGTAAAACTACCCTGAGCATCTATGAAATTAAGTGCTTTTCATAAGGGTAAATCATATACCAATGTAATAATGTAGTTTCAGAAGATTAGTTTACTCTTTAGATATTCATTAATCAAATCGATTCATATAGTTTCAGTTAGTCTCGTGCTGGGTTCATCTAAAAGAAGACATCTGGAAGAAAATGTAGGAGCCATATGTAAAGATTTATAACATTCTATGTATATACATGAACAGTAAATGTGTCTATTAAATTAAAAATGAGGTATGAAGTGACTGAGAAGCCTCTTCAAAGGTTTTCTTATATGTTCAGCCAATTTAACATTTCATAAAATGAATGAAGTTTAGCAACCATTTAAATTTGGCATTTCAAACACTCCTAGGTGCATATTATTTTGTGAATAGGAAACCATATACTTGTGTGTGATATAGTCCTCTCCTCCATAAAATTAACATGTGTGTAAACTGAGACAGGATGACTTGTTCTTCTGCCGCTTTTTAGTCTGAATTATCTCCATATGTTATTTAATTCTATAGAACCTAGGAGCTAAAATGAGAAAGAGACCGTTTCAGTTTACACCAGTGTTTGACAAATATAATACAATAAAATATAAAAAATGGAAAAAAGGATCAGCGCTCTCTACACAAATACACAACAGAAAAGATAAAATTTGGCAGCACACCTAAAAGTAGGGCTCCCTCACGGCCCTACAACAGAAATGGTACAAATAAAAAAAGAAAGAAAGGTAGTGCCACTAAAAACCAAATGAGATAAATAAAAGCATATAACAGGCAAAATAAGCAATGAATATAAAATAGGAGATAAAAAAAATAAGAGTCCAGGGTAGGTTAGATAAATCCAACACCAAGGTGTTACTTTGTAGAAGGGGGTACAGTCTTTGGTGATGAGGATATTCTTCAGAGTAGTATAGATGTGTCTTAGTAATTCATATGAAATAGAAAAGATAACAACTGATGGTGTAGTATGTCCCAATAGGGGTAAAATCAGCATAAAAAAATATATATGGTCCTACTCACGTTTTGTAGAGCTATGAACTTAGCTCTAGTGTTGATAACGTACAGTGGTATAATCCCCACTTATGGGATACGTGAGGTCTTTGGGTTCTTGCTTGATTTGGAAACCATATGTGAAAATAAAATAAGGGGACAGCAATAGTGCTCAAAGTATACCACTTGGTACTTTAATTTCTCACCTCTGGCATGTTATACTTTGAGCACTATTGCTGTCCCCTTATTTTATTTTCACATATGGTTTCCAAATCAAGCAAGAACCCAAAGACCTCACGTATCCCATAAGTGGGGATTATACCACTGTATAATGTGTTGGTCACTATTGTTGTCTATATGCCGCTGATGTTTGACACTACTCCATAGCCGTCTTATCAAAAATATGAAGATTTTTATGACCCCAAAAGGACAATTTTATCTATTTTACTTGGTACCTTTGTATTTTTTATTGCACACTTAAAATTTATCAAATATTTGGTTTTATTTTGGCGCTACCTACATGAAAAACATGCACGTAAATTTCAAGATAAAAATGATGCATTATGATTGTTAACTTAAAAATGGGAGCAAGTTGACTTGAGTTGCAGAAAATAGTTGTATTTAATTTAACATGTGAGTTACAGTTAGTAGTAAGTGGTTTTGCACTCCTAAATACTGTAGATTGCAACTACCATCATTCTGTATCCCTAGCTTCTTGTGTGAATCTAGGAGTTAGAAGTACCTGATGTGGCAACACTGCAAACACAGTATTGTTATGTATGTCCAAACAATGGAACTCTTCTAATAGGAAATCAATAAAATTGAGAGTACAAGACCTTAATTTACTATAAGGGAGGTTGTAGACCTCCCTTATGCCCCCACCTGCCATGTATCTTTTTATTAATTCCCTTTATTTGCAATGTATGCCCTGGCTTTTCCTTGTTTGAATTTTATCAAAATGTAATTTGTTATATTTTAATATAATTTTAAAAGAAAACAGATCTCGTGAAAAAGATCAGATTCAGTTTTAGGTGATTTTCTAATGTTTTGCTAAATGGAGACAATTCTAAAGAATTTATGGTTCCTCATTTATTTTCAGCTTGGATTTCAATTAACTAACATTTGGAGTTTAATCAATAAGACTGTAAGAGTTTTTTTCCTAATTGCTTGCTTATTCTGTATTAGGCAGGAGTACAGTGCACTATATAAAGTTAATTATGAGCTTAATATTTCACATGGTATGAGTGATGGAACTTTACACAGAGTTCATATTGATAAAGAATTATAAGATAAATGAATTTCATTAAATATGAGGTTAAGTGTTGGGGGTTAGGGACTGTATTGCTAATTGTATAAGTATATATTGATCGTTGCTTTTTTAAAGCTATTTAGTTAAAATCCTCAGAATCCTATGATGTTGCATATTCTGGGCATTCTGCCCAGAGTTCCAGAATCTTCTAAACAAAGTGCAGGTGTCTCATCACATGACTCAGGACACTCTGGGCATCTGGCCAACACTCCGGAGTGGGCTAATGCCTGGTAAGCTGCACTCTCGCATGTATGAAATGCGCATGTCATTTTCACAAATTAGTTATACAAGTACAATTATAAAAGCTGAGACTTCCATTTTTTGGGGGGGTTTAGAAGCCTCACCTGTGAACGAATGCATTGTGCAGGGACTTTCCTGATTTATCTAAAGCTCTAGGCTAAGGATGAAAAAAAGAGGGGCTTCCCAGCCATGATTGTGTTAGTCTAGGTGTAGTAATTTTCTGTATTAATCGGTGATGTATTACGTTATCCTTGTACTTAGAAAGATTATACTATTTTATTCTTAACTTTTGTAAATATTCTTTCACAACACTATTGATCTATTCTTTCATGATACTATTGATCTATGTAATAAAAACCTTTACTATTCACCCACTCAATTGGTGTCATATCATGCATTCTTTAACCTTCTAAATGTAGCAAAACAGGGACTAGAATTGTAACATAATGGAAGAGCACAGAATAACAAACAAAAATAATTATGGTAGGAAAGCTCTAGGAAATAACTTCAGTATGACACCACTTTATGGACACATATTTTAATACAATACAGTGTTATCATATTTAATATACAGTGGTGAGCCACAATATTAAAACCACTGACAGGCAAAGTGAATAAAATGCATTATATTGCTATAATGGCACCTGTCAAGGGGTGGGATAACTTAGGCAGCAAATGAACAGTCAGTTCTTGAATTTCATGTGTTGGAAGCAGGGACAATAGGCAAGCAAAAAGATCTGAGTGACTTTGACAAGAACCAAATAGTGATGGCAAGACAACTGGATCAGAGCATCTTTGAAACGGAAAGTCTTGTGGCGTGTTCCTGATATGCAGTAGTTAGTACTTACTGCCAAATTCTCTGAAATGCCTTTGGAGACGGCTTATGGTAGAGAAATGAACATTCAATTCACGGGCAACAGCTCGCGGGGACATTCCTGCAGTCAGCATGCCAACTGCACGCTAAAACTTGTGACATCTGTGGCATTGTGCTGTTGTGCTGATAAAACTGCACATTTTAGAGTGGCCTTTTATTGTGGCCAGCCTAAGGCACACCTGTGCAATACTCATGCTGTGTTTCTTGAAACATAAATCTGTCCAGTTATAGGATGACTTGTCACACTTTTACTTGTTGCCAAATTTCACAAGTCCAATTTTTTTGCTATGTAGTTTAGTCTAACACTCAGGATACATTAGAAAGTGAGGTTAAAATTCTTTAATTCAGTTACAAGACAGAGACCCTAGGCAAATTTCTTTTTTTTTCTCCCTCTGTGGCATGTAATGCTTAAAGTTTGAGCTTCACTTATCCTTTTCATGAGATCAAATATTTTGTATCTATAAAACTCATTCTTATTTTTAATTTTATTTTAATAGAGTATTTTTTGGGTAAAAAGTTATAAATGCATAATAGGAGAATAGGAGGAAAAAAACCTAAAATGAAAACAAAATTCTATATTTCTAAAACATTTTTAAAATACATTATACAATTTTATCACATTTTAGTTTTTTGTTCATTCTTTATTTTTTGTTGTGCGTGGAAATACAAACATGCTTGCTTTGCCCCAACAGCAAGAGCAAGTATATAAAAGAGCATAGCATAACACTGGGAAGGCATTTAGAGTATTCTGCAGAGTTTTGGGATAATATATTCAGGCTAGGTATACATGTTTAAACAGTAGACACAACTAAGCATGCAAATAATAAAATGTTAGTAGACATGTTCAAGATTATACAATAAAAAGTGCAAAATCTTTCACTGTGTCACAGAAAAATATTATAGTAATCAATTTTCACCAATATCACTATACAGTGTTAAAGTGAATATTCAGGTGTTTGGTAGAATAAAAGGTGAAATATATATGTATACACTACCTTTTACTTATGGGTTTCAACCTGAAGATCTCTTCAAATCTTCCACAAGTACATAGGCAAAACACAATAGGGTTATCCAACTATAGGGAAACAAAGAAGAACATTGCAATTCCGTATGACACTAAAAAATACATACATCCCCCCCTCCCTCCCTCTTAAATACCCCCACATTTATTTAATAGATGTCTTCTTTGTGCTGTTTGGCTTCATTTCAACTGCTTGTAGTTAGATCGCGATTACTTCCTTGTTCCGGGTGTGTGACGTCATCGCGTTGGTTATGCGTTCCACGTGCGTTCCAAAGAATCCTTATACTCGCATGGTGGTTCCTGCGTTCCACCATGTGTTCCTCATATTGTCAGGAAATGATATAGATGCAAGGTGGTGTGGAGGGGGATGAAAGAAATTTGTTTAAACATTCTTTCCCATATAATCCATATAAATATATACAGATGTATCAACAATGAAACAAGTAACAAATAATAGATACTAATAAGTGAATAATGAGGGTCTCTGTGTGTGACTTTTATAAACCTTCTTAATATGCCTCATTTGCATTTAAAGGGATTCAGTTCATCATCCTCTAGATAGAGAGAGAGAATGTTCATGATGTTCTAAAAGCATGACTTTACCTCATATAAAAAATTCTGTGTCCATCTTTTATTAAAGAGATCCAATTTTGATAAAGAGTAATCGATTTAAAGAGGCATATATAATTGATTTTATGAGAAAAGATTTTGAAATATCCTTCAATGGATTTCTAAAAAAGTGGTTAATCTAAGAGGTTAATCTAAGGTACGTTAACTCTTAATGTGTTAATTGTGTTGATTTGAGTGAATCCATAATATAGTGAATACTTAACTTTACCTTATAAAAAATTATTTAATTCCATATTTGTCTTCTAATAAAAGATACAGTTTTGACAAATGGTGATTAATTCAAAGAAGTATACATAGTTAATTCTATGAAGAAACTTTTTTTTTTTTTTAAATGAATTTCTAAAGGGGTGATTTATCTAAAGAGAAAATGTTTTAATCATCATGGATTTTTAAAGAAGTAATTGGTTTAAAGAGGTATACATACTTGAATTACTAGCTAGATTGTAAATTAACTTTCAATGTATTGGATATATTAATTCAGTTAAGTTTTTTAACCTTCAATTTTAGAAGGGGTAAACCCCTCCATATTACACATGGTCACGCAGAGAAACCCTCTTACAATATTATACATGATTCAAGATTATACAATGGCAGAGTTTTTCCACCCCAGAAATCCCCAGAGACAAAACCAAACTAAAAGGAGCGTCCAGCTAGTATAGTGACAGAGTGTATTGTGAGTGTATTGCATTATCATTTAATGCATGCTGCTGGGAATTGGCAACAGTAAAATAGAGCATTTATCAGTGAGTGTAAGTATATCAAACAAATAAAATTAAAGGGAGCATGAGACTGCAGCTATAAGTAAAAGCCAGCTTTGAGGGGACCGACATGAGGAATCACAACATTGCATTCAGCCTACGCCTGTAATGGGTATGCCACAGTCCCACATAATAATGACAATCTTCAAGTCCAGCCAAAGGTAGCAGCTCTAGGACCTGTGTCTGCAGATAGTTTGCTCTGAACACTCTATACCTTCTCTAATCCTCATGCTTGTCTTGTTGGTGTTCGTGACAGATGTCGGTCTGCACACCCCCATTCTCAGAGTGTAGCGGTGTGGCCTACACTGCCTTGGGTGCGTTGTGTGAGATGAGGGAGCTGCACGTCGACCTTGGACATGCTGGGTGGTAGCTGGAAGTGCATGGTCCACCTTAGGAACAAGCAAGGTTTGTCCACAAGCTAGCTTCTTCCAGAGCATTTCAAATAATTTTTCCAGTATGAATATAGGACGGACCTCTACTGGAATCCAGGTTTCACACAATGGCCGCCATTTTGAATGTGCCTCTATTGGTGTTGCTGATATTTGCGGTATCCGCACATGTCCCTGATAGGGCTGGAGAGCCACCGGGGAGGAGACTGGGATCACCCCCGACTGCGTTGGGCCGGGAGATAAGCCGTCTCTACCTTCCCCACCCTAGTCTCGGCATTAAAAAGCATATGGAGTGTCATAAAAGGTCGCGGGACACATTCCCAGTCCGGTCAGATGGTTAGATTGGCAGGGAGTATGACACCAGTACCCAGAGAGTAGCTAAAACAGCAGATAAATTAGAGTTATTTTGAGTTACATCCAGTCGCCATCACGGTCATGCCCTGCCCCCTCCCCCCCCACCTCATGTTTTAGTTGTAAATACATTTTTAAACGTTTGTTACATGTTATGTATTCCTGGATACCTAATCATTATTCTTTTCAGTTCTTATTCATTACAGGTATACAAATTGGAATTATTTATATCCCTTTGTATTTACTGAATACTTCTATTTGTTTAAATAATTTTGACATCTGTGTGCTGGATTACTCAGTTAAAAAAATAAAATTTTCATAGTAAGCTATTCGTGGTATTTATATTCTATATGGAGAACTATTCCGGTGCAAAGATAAATGTATTTAATGTATATTTTTAAGATATTAGACCAGAATACGGCCTTCCATTTTTGGCAGAAGGTACTGGCAGTGATTCATTGAAAACGTAGGTATGCATGGATTCTCTGCAGCTAAGTATCCTCTAAGAGAGAGATCTGTAGAAAATCAATACTTTCCTCGTAGAATTACGGGAAATATTAATTCAACTTATAAGTAATTTATTGACCAAAGCAAATGCATACTGCTGTGACAAAAGAAACAAGGCCATCAATGTGTTGCATTAATTCATTTCTAACCTCAGCTTAAATGTTTGAAAATGCCTGTACAGTCAAAGTGCATTTGCACAGCAAGACACTATATGCATGTTATTTATATATATATAAATATATATAATATATATAAAGATGTCTGTGTATTTAAATGAAACTATGTGTTTTATCCCAAAGAATTTATGTCTACTAAAGTTCTAGAGCGAGTGGTTCTTCGCCTTTTTTTTTTTTTAATTTAATATTTTTATTGTGCATCTTGTCTGTAACACATAAACTTGTGGTGCCCCAACAGCAGTCCTCAAGCGTAATACTTTATACAGCATTAGGAGCAGTGATAAACTTGCACATTTTTCTTTTAGGTAAACGAATATATTCAGGAAGCTTACGTATCATGGTGTTTATGGTTGCAAGCTATATTTGCAGGAGTGTAAGATCGCTTTGTGGGTGCTTGGGTGTCATGGTTGGTCTAAAGGCTGAAGTTGCCACGGGTTTCAGGTCCTACTGTGTTTCAGGATATATGGTACCGGTCCCCAAGTCTGGTAGGGATTTGGTTGATGAATGTGCGTGTGTTCTATCGGAGCCGTGTGGGTAGTTGTGCCAGGAGCATGTTTGGTGTGTGCTTGCTTTGTGTTGCCTCGTGCTGAATGTATTAGGGCTAGTGGGGTTGCCTGGTTGTCAGCGTGTGTTGTCTGGTGCCGAGCTGTGTGTGTTAGCAGGTGAGTCTCGTATTTTGTGGGTAGTCCAGCATATCAGGTTAGGGCGCAAGTCCTCCATTAGCCTGTGCTTCTGCTTGGTGGTAGATTTGGGGGGCAGAGTGTGGTCGGAAGGCAGAGATCGGGCGAGTCCTCCCCAAAGCCCTGGGCCATCTAGAAGGCCTGCATCCTCGGGCCACGAACCGGGGATCTCCTGTGGGAGGCCGGATTTTGTCCTCGTGGGGGCTGCAGTGTGTCCCGGTAGAGTATCTCCTTTCATGGTGTTGGGTCCACTGTACCGGTGGCCAATGCTCTGGGACTGTTCCCTGGTGGCTTTCTGCCCTGGAGGGCGGGTCGTGCGGTTGTTAGGTCTGCATTGTAGAGAGTGCCCAGGGGAGACTCGCTCTCCGCTCGCCTCATGCCTTCCCGTTTACTTGTTGTTGGTGGTGCTGTGGGGTGCTTGGGCAGGCCCGCTGGCTTGTCCTGGAGGCAGGTCAGGGCTGCGGTCGGGGTTTGTGATGTGGGCACACTGTTGCTCCGGGTCGTCTCGCCCCTTAGTTGCACACGTGGCTGTGAGATGTCGGTCATCTTGGGGTGAGCTGACGTGTCTGCATTTCACTGCTTGGGCCTTGCGGTAGGTTTGGCTGTCGCCTGTGGGGACAGGGATAATACCCACCGGTCCAAAGGGGGGGGACAGGACCGGGTCCGCCTCAGTTTAGAGGGCCTGTCGGGCTCCGTTACGCAGGATAGTGGGGCAGCAGCTGTCCACTCCACTCACCGTCGGATGAGGTCCTGCCTGAATCAGCGAAGATCTCTCCTCCGAGGGACTAGAACTCCGGGAGCAAGCCTCTCCTCGGATCCGGTAACCCTTGCGCATTGTGGGTCGCGGCTGCAGGTTGCTGAATTTGTCTAAAGCTTGGTGTATCGGCTTAACAGGTTGTGGTTTGCAGGAGCTGATCTTTCCTGCGACCGTCCATCTTGGCGGTCCAGCCCCGCCCCCTCAGTTCTTCACCTTTTTATTATAGGGACCCAAATGATGCGCATGGAATTAGCTTTTTTTATCCATGACTGCTCAAACGCACAGCTACACGCTACATGCAGTAAATGGACACGGGCACTGAAATACTGGAGTAGGGCTTGCCCACAGCTTTGTTATTTGTCTAATTATTACAGCAGATTATTTTTATAACATCAAACCAGCATAACCATTACACTTTACACATATTTGAGAAGAAGCATCTGCTGTCAGCTGTTAGACTCAAGTACAGCAAGCAGATCCACCAGACTCAGAATTCAGTCCCTAACACGTGAGCTGAACAGGACCCCCTCTACTATGCTCGCTCCTGAGTTCACCAGAAAACAGAATGGAAAATGGGGAGGAAATAGCAAACATTAAAGGTGGGTGGGGTTGGACCCCTTTGTAAGGAATCCAAGGGTCATGTTGACCCTTTTATAATCCTATTTCAGGAACTCAAAATTTACAAATATCCCAGGCAATAATTATAGCTTTTGACTTTATATCCTTAAAGGGAATTCTATGGCTCATTCCACAAATAATGTGTCTTGGGTAGCCTTTCTTCAATAGAAAAATTAGTTCAATGACCAATTCATCATCTGTAAGGTAATATGGTTTAAATAAATTGTGGGAAACACCTTAGATGTTTCCGTGTGTTTCCAAAAATATGCATTCAAGTGGGAAAGGCAGTGTCTAATTTGTGTAATGTAAAGAAGAAAAAAGTGGTCAAGCACTCATTCAGGTTCAATCTGTTTTATTAATTCCATTTATTAATTAATTAGATTAATTTATTAATAATTCAGTTGCCTTTATCAAGTCATACACACACTGCACTTAAGCTGTAAATATATACTCTGTCCAAAAAGTGTTATATGAGGTATGTCCAGAAAGTATCCAGCCATTGCTAATAAAGTGAGAACAGTTTGAGTGACATCAATGTAACCTAGAAGCCAAAGAGTTTGGAGTGGAATGTGCATGTATGAACAATGACGGCTGTACTAGTCAGTGCGGAAGGTAAACGCCATTGAGTGAGCATGTGTACTGTGTGGCAGTAGCTTTCAAAATGACTGAGCGAGTAGAGCAACAAATCTACATAAAATGTTGTATTAAGCTTGAACATTCCTCCGCAGAAACTATTTGGATGATTCGGAAGGCTTTTGGGGACGATGCAATGAGTGCAGCACAAATAAAATCACCCAGATTTGGCACCCTGCGACTTCTGCAAAGGACTTCCCTCCAATTGATCAGAGTTAAAGGATTTCAAGTGGACTCATTACAATTACAGGGCTTCTAAAGAGTCCTGTATTGATATTTGTCGTCACTACTTTCACGCGTCGGGAGTGGGTAATTTGCGCGCCTGCTGCCTTTCTTGCATGTGGTAGCCGTTTCTCAGGGTCCCTGTACGGAATGGAACACTGATTCCCCGTTACCCGTGGTCACCATGGTAGGCGCAGAAACTGGCATCGAAAGTTGATATGGATGACATCTGAATGCAAAGTCGCCGTCACGGGGATGTCCAAGGTTCTAGAGTCAAAGCGCCTGTGCAACTATAATGTCAACAGCTACTCTGCGAAACAGAGTTGTCTTTTTTATATGTCCTAATATTTTGTGGGCTACCCCAATTAAAAAAATATATTATTATTATTATTATTATTATTATGTTATTTATATAGCACCATCAAATTCTGCAGCGCTTTACAATGGGTAGACGAACAGACATGTAGTTGTAACCAGACAAGTTGGACTCACAGGAACAGAGGGGTTGAGGGCCCTGCTCAATGAGCTTACATGCTAGAGAGAGTGGGGTAAAATTACTCAAAAAGGTAAAATGACACAAAAAGGTTTTTTAATATAGATATATAAAAAACTGTGTTGACTATCTCATCCTCCTCCTCCACCGCTGCTTCCACCTACACCGCCACGGTCACCGCCACCTCAACCTATGGGTCACTTAGTATAAACTATGTACACAATAGCAGAGGCTTTTGAAGGCTTTTTCTCCATGCATCAGGAGTTTAACATTTCTCCATGCATCAGGACTGCAAGAAATGCACCGCAGGCTGCAAATGTTTCTTTTTTTGTATGTCCCAATATTTTGTGGGCTACCACAATTAAAAAAACAAACAACCATAAAAAACAGTGTTGCCTACCTCATCCTCCTCCTCCACCGCTGCTTCCACCTACACTGCCACGGTCACCGCCTCCTCAACCTATGGGTCATTTAGTATAAACTATGTAAACAATAGCAGAGGCTTGTGAAGGCCTTTTCTCCATGCATCAGGAGTTGAGCTCAGTTTGAACAATGAAAGAGAATATCCTGCACTCCAACCCTCTCTCAAATGGATAATTCTGGTGATCCTCCTGACAGCCGTGCTTTAGATTTTGATTTAAGGTCTTCCAAAGCTAAAATCAAAGATTCCATCTAGTGCTATTTTATGGCTCAGCTGTATTTTTAATTTGTATGTTATGTTAAGTGATTTCCCTATCCACATTTGTTTGCAGGGCACTTGTCCTACTCTTACCCCCATTTTACTTCCTTTTGCAGCTCTCTAGCCCTTTCCAGGAGTTTGTTAGAGGCATTTTTGTGCCCAAACGTTTGGGTCCCCATTGACTTCAATGGGGTTCGGGTTCAGGATCAAGTTCGGGGTCAAGTTCGAGCCCGAACCTGGACTTTTTTTCCAAGTTCGGCCGAACCCACCGGACTCGAACATCCAGGTGTCCACTCAACTCTAGTCCTGTACACAACCTTCTCTACAAGAGTGGATTGCTGAGGTGGAGACCATTAGGGAGATGGAATAGATTAGGTTTACCATAAGTAATTTGCACCATCTATAGTTCAAAATCTGTGCTCCATGGTTGCAATTATTATCCTCTCAAATTCTAATGTACATGAATATTCTCAACCACATGCACTTACCCCACAGGGACATACCTCTCGTAGACTTATGTTAATTAAAAGTATTTTAATGCAAATAATATATTAAACGTTTTGATTTAAAGTGTTACACCATATGGCTTTGACATTTGTAATTTCCTGATTTGTTTTCTATATGTTTCTTTATGCTTACATTTTTAAGGTGAGGAGGTGCGAGGGAGGGGGCCCAGAGAGAACTATAGTATAAGGAATGCAGCTTTGTATTCCTTAGACTATAGAATCCCTTTAAGTAGCTTTGTAAAATATAAAACTGTATTTCAGTTTTTGTGTGTGCGCTGTTTCTTTAACTGTATTTAGTACATATTTTGGTCTTTACAGCGGCATGTTCTGGGTTTGCCCCCAATTACCATTTTTTACTTTAATGTACTGTGACAGATTTGTATGTTCTGCTATAAAAAATGACTAAAATCTTTAAAATAAAAGACTGAAAAAAATAAAATTATTAGTTTGTATATCAAAATGCATACCTATACTTTACACTGAAAATATTGACTTACAGTATATACTCGAGTATAAGTCTAGTTTTTCAGCACATTTTTTGTGCTTAAAAACACCCACTCGACTTATACTCGAGTCACTGTCTGTATTATGGCAACTTAGAGAGCCGCGGCCGTCAGAGCCGTGGCAACGATCCGCGCGGCAACCAGACCGCGAGACTTACAGTGGAGCTGACCGGAACGGAGGAGAAGGGAGCTGACAGGAGCTGCAGGAAAGGTAAGTAAATGCTTCCTGCCGGCCCCCCCACTTCACAGCCCATGCCACTGGACCACCAGGGATTAAGATAGCCCCCCTCCCTGACCGGTTAACAAGCAGGGAGGGGGGACAAAAACAAATTAAAATAATTAAAAAAAAATATTAAAATTAAAAAAATTAAAATAATAAAAATGCCCTCCCCCCACCCAGTTCACACACACTACACAAACACACACTCTTCATTATATACACACTCTGCATTATATACACAGAGTCTGTGTATATAATGCAGAGTGTGTGTTTGTATGAGTGTCTGTGTGTATATAATGCAGAATGTGTGTTTGTATGAGTGTGTGTGTGTGTGTATATAATGCAGAATGTGTGTTTGTATGAGTGTGTGTGTGTATATATAATGCAGAGTGTGTGTTTGTATGAGTGTGTGTGTATATAATTCTAAAAATCACAGAATTTCATAGCCCCAAGTTTTACCCTCGACTTATCCACGAGGCATAGCATATTTCACAATTGTTGGTCACAAAACTGCACTCGACTTATACATGAGATCGACTTATACACGAGTATATACGGTAAGTGATTCCATTTATTGGGCCTAATAGATGGCAACAGTGCATTTGAGAACTAAAAGTTAAGTACATTTATAAAAAAAAAAAAAACTTTTTTTCCACTGGCAGCACTAGCAGCCATCAGGCAAACGGGTAAAATAGCAAATGACCCCTATATTAATATAAGGGAGGTGTAATACCTTGCTTATGCTCCCTCCCTCCCTCCCACTACCTACCTACTTGGCAGCTGTTGCTCCCCATTCCCTAATAAAGTTCAGGGGAGACCTGGCACAGACCACCTATGCCCTCATCCATGGGCATCGCGCTGTGGCTGAAAATAATTGAATGGGGGTGCATAAGTTACGGTCCACTCTCCTGCTCCATCTCATAGAGTATTTTGTGTAGGAGAATAATAAAAAACATTACATATAGATTCCTTTATTGAAAATCTAGGCATTTCTTGACTCATAAATTCCATGTCGGGTATTGGATTTATTACACCCCCACAAACCCAGTGACCGGATCATCTGGCTGAAAATTCCAAGAGATATCCGCAAACTCCCACTTTTACATCTAAGAGCATTTTATGGATTCTACTTGAACAAAATCTATGGTGCTATAAAAAGCAGCAACAAGTCAGATTAAAAATACTTATATCTGTTCATTTGTGGAAACCTAAATCCACAGTTAGTGCTCACTAGTTTGTAAAGTACTATACTCTCAGGTCACGTTAGAGCCTGGAACGATGTATAATTACAGACTATAATTACTTTTACAATGAGTAGCAGTAATTCAGAGATCAGAAAGCCTATGAGTGTGAACCCTGGGAGCATGTCTTTACAAGAGAGGTCACAATTAAGTGGTGCAAATACTGCAAGCTGAGACTGAATTACAGTGGGAGCATACCCTGAGCATTAAAAACAGAATATGCATTTATTCGATAGACTTAAGGCAAAGGTCTTCATTTCTACTTATTAGCCTCTTGGGAAATAATGTAAGTTATCTTGACTAAACACTGCCATCTAGTGGGAAATGAGAAGGCAGTCCTTCTGTAAGGTATGCATGAATCGAAACCTGCTTTATAATGCATCAACATATTGAACAGAATTGATATATAATCCAATAATACCGCACTCGCTATAAATGCTATCACGCTACAAAAATGTAAGATGTTTTTACGTTTTTTATTTCAATGATTTTTGCTGCTTCAAAAAAAAAAGCAAAACACAGTGCAATACTTATGCACTACAAAAGACATACAAAAATTGTTATTTACTACAAATATATGGCTAAACATATTAACAAATGATAATGACAATCCAAGTGTTTGCTAGTGCCAAAAAGTAAATCTAAAAATGATATATATATCTCAATATAAAAGGGCAACAATCTGAAACTATGATATATTTCTTAATGCAATATACATTATATGCAGCATAATTGATTTGCAGAGTACCCAGTAAGACTGAATCAAGTTACAATTGGGTGCTGAATTAGGTTGGTAATAGCAGCATCCCTCAATATTATGTTCCCTGTCAGGGTAAAACTGTAATAGCAAACACCTTCCATATAGTGCAGTAGCTGATATTGTCAAAATAATCATAGGTTAATACGTTTCAAAAGTCATAGTTTAATACCATGGCTTATTGAGATACATTTACTTTTCCACTTGTATGTATTTCCATGGTATAGTACAGTAACTTGTTCATACACAATATTGTAAAATGTCCCATAAATATAACATCTGTCAGCAGGTTTGGATTTACATCACAGGCACTTGTAGGCACAGAATCATCAAGCTCTGCCCAATCTGCCTCACTGAAAAAAATAAAATAAAAAATGTATGTATATACACACACACACATGGAACTTGTGTGTATGTGCAATATATGTATATGCACATGTGTAGCTGTGTGTGTAAATGTCTGAGAACATGTCTTTGTATGTATTTCTGTGCATGTGTGTGTTGTGTGTGTGTGTGTGCATGTAGCAGTGGTAGCTGTTGAAATTTTAAGAAAGTAGACCCCAGATTACCCCTCCAGAATTTTGCTTCTACCTTTTACAGTACACAGTACACAGTTGCACTCTCCCCACTTTCTAAGCAGGACAATATTGTGACATGTTTGGCTAGTCTTTTACCTATAGACCAGGGGTTCCCAAACGTTTTAGGTTCAAGGCGCCCTTAATGTTTCAATATTTTTCCAAGGCATCCCAAGTCAAATGTTTCCCTGTCAGGGGCAGATCCAGAGCCTAAACTTGGGAGGGGTACTTGTAGATTATTTAAAGAAACAATCCAGGCACAATAACCACTACAGCACACTGTAGTGGTTATGGTGCCAGGACTGCCGTGGTGCCCTCCCAGGGTAAGCAGTCAAACTGTTTAAGAGCAGTTTGACAACTTATCTGGGGTCTGCCGGGATAGGGGCTTTAATAGGGGATAGGGACAGTGGTGTGTGTGAGGGGTGCACTGTGTGTGTGTCTGGGGAGCAGTTTATGTATGGGGGTGCTTTGAGTTTGTGAAGGATGTAGTGTGTAAGAGGTGCATTG